TTAGGGTTTAGGATTTATCGGGTTTAGGGTTTAGAGATTCTTATATATATATATATGAGATGGCCTACATGTACCCTTGAGGGTCCCTAGAATCCTCCCCTAAACGACCTAAGGGCCCATATCGGGGCCCATACTTCTAACCTTTGCCTGGACTTTAGGGGTTTCGTGCTTCACGGCTTGGATTTTTTTTACCCTCTCTAAAGGGACAACCTAAACCCTAAAGCCTATACAGGGAGCATAGGAGGCAAAAAAAAATGTTTCGGACTTCAGGTTTAGGCATTCTCCTTCCCCAACCCCAAATGGCAGCTAATATAAACACCTCTAGAGACAGTATTCTTCGTAAGGCCCCTTTAGTGCTTCGTTGTCAGCTCGGGGGAGTGTAGGGCTTGTAGGCTTACATAGGGGTTTTTAAGGGTTAGCCGCAGGAAGAATAAAGTGATCCGCATTTTGAGGGCGCTTACTTCCTTTGGGTTCTTGAGGGTGTTTAGGCATACCATCACGGAAGCCCATACCTTGAAAAGGCAAACAGTATCCTTTACGTTGGCCCAGCTGCAGGGCGCCATCACCATAGGACAATACGAATTTGATCATGCGAAGGAGCGTTGGGTAGGTCAGTGGAAACGCAATGAGTATACAAAGCGTCCATCCGACAGTTTGCACTGCCATGTACTGACCAACAGAGCCTTAGGTGTTCACCTGTAAAAAAAGAGGGTCGCAGCACAGACTTCAATAACTATACTATGAACCTTATACCCTAAACCCTAAACCCCTAAACGGCCGAAGAGCTGTACCCCTCCAAGCGTGCAGATTCACTGCATGGTCCGTTGTCACACCCCAGGATGTTCCTTGACTGTCTTCTGCTAATTCCCCCGTAAGAATGAACCCTAATTAATAACCCGCTCCCCTTAATAGGGATTATAGTAAGGATCCGGATAGTAAGGCCCTTAAACGGTGGGGGTCCATTTTAAGAATGACCTCCCCGCCCTAACAATAAATATTCAGCTAATGCGGCATGGCACTATATTAGGAGGTGGGGTGGGAGCGGTGTTCGTATTGGTTCCCTATTGGGAGATATACTATTAACTAAAGAATGTAGTGTCACTTTCCTGTTTGAGCTTTAGCAGGGTGAATCCAAACAGTTGTTTGAAAGCAAGTTTGGGATTATGGTAAGTGTTCAGCTTGCTAACTAGGCAATCCAACACGCAGGCACGCAAAGCGGATTAACATTGTTGATTGAAGCATACACATTGTGCCCAATACTGTTGCTGCACAAAATGTTGCATGCCCCTATGAACCCAAACTCTTGAACATGTGGTCGCTTAGTGCACTTACTTGGGATTATGCAGGGCTTTGTCCATCAACAGCTTGACATTCACCTTGGTAAGATTGTACAAGTTTGGGTAGGATAGGCCAAAGCAAAAACGACCTCACACCACGCTGGCCTGGGCCTAGGGTTAGAAGATTTCAGGGTGCAGGGTAGTTAATTACCAATTTCCCATGTATAGAGCTTCCTCAAATTTACTTTCAATTTGGGTTGGGCCTAGCTTACCCATAAATAGGTTACAGGTTACCCATTGTACGTGTACGGTTGTAAGTACGGCCACAAGTTCCCCTAAACCTTAGAGCCAGTTGTTCTGAATCCACACCCAGGCTCACTGAGCTGTAGAAAATCATGGGCAGGAAAGCTGCTAGGCAGGTCTGCCACGATACCTATCTTTGGGGCTGGTGGTTTCTTAAAATGGGTGGGGGGCCCTTGAATTTTTGCAGGCACACAAAAGTTTGAGGGATAAGGTTTTTTTCTCAAATTGGGAGGGTTACAGACCTAAGAAGAGATGGACAACATTTTTTCAAGGAGGCATGGGGGTTGTTATTTGGTTTTACCTGGGGTTGTTTTGAGAAGCTCCCACATAGAGCTCATCACCGATCTCATCCATGACCAACCTCAGTCAATGCTCCGCTAGGAAACAAAAAGGGATCCTTCTGACCACACGGCTTAAAGTTTAGCAAAATTTAGGTACTTACCTGCATGTATTTGAAGAAGCCTATGTCCACAAAAAAGTATGATGAATTTCTTAATATAGTGGATGAAAGACATCTTGCACCACCTGATGCCTCGTATACTTTAGGAATTACCGTATATATTGGTGGTCCTGCCGTGGATGACCAGAAGACCATAGACGGATTTCCTCCATCCACCGTCCCAAGTTCTACACTGTCTACACCCTGTGAGCCCTCAAAGATCAAACAAGATTTCGGTCGCAGCAACGCACCCAGAGTTCCACGAATGTACTCGTTGAATCTATCCAGAGGATCACCGTAGCCCATGTCTGGCTGGGCAAACCTCAACAGAGCGTGTATGGTTCAGGATTTAAGTTTTAAGGTTTAGGGCTTGTGTTTTCCCCTAAACCCTAGACCCTAAACCAGGGTTCCAGGCTTGAAGGTTGGGGTCCAAGGGTCCAGGAGGTGAGAAAACGTCGTTGCTTTTGCGTCTGCAAGCGTTTGCGAGTGTCCGCGGGGTTTCAGCTATTTGGGGGTTTCCCAAAATTAGGGGTACCATTTTGGGGTCCCCATAATAAGGATTCTAGTAGGGTCTATATTGGGGTCCCTTGATTTTGGGAAACTACCACTTTTGGGAAGATACAGGGGTTTCGGGTTTAGGGGAGGCATCCTATTATTGCAAAGTCGCATATGGGTTGGAGATGTAGAGCAGACAGATCTGTACACAGCCGATCTAAACCACTCGCCAGTTGTAATCCGATGAAGGCTATAGGGTGGCGGACGGGCGTGTTGCTTCTGACCTACTTAACAGGTATACGTCTATCCAACGTATGCTCATGGTCACTTGGACCTTCAACTGGCTGTAACTACAGTTGCCGAGCAGGTTAGAAGCAACACGCCCTAAGCCCTAAACCCTAATTCGACTTGGAGGCCCCTGGGACTTAGTAACTACTGATAACTGGGCTTATAACCCTGCGTATAATCCCCCTAAATGGGCTTATAGGGGTTACCCCAAGTATAAGTATGGTTATAGTCCCAGTTATAAATACTCACTACGTCCCATGAGCCTCCAAGCAAGTACCCCAAAAAGTCATAAACTCCAAACTCCAAGTACCCTAAACCCTGCGTAGTAGTTTTCCATTTTCTTTTCCATTACCCACCCTAAACCCTAAACCCTAAACCCTGAATCTAACTCCAGGAAACCTTTGAAGGCGCACCTCTCCGTAGTCCACAAGATCTGCAGGGTGATTTTCTGCGAGGATCTCGTTGTTGCAGAAAAGCTCTTTCACTTGCTCTTCAATGGCCTTCCGCTTGGGGTTTTGGGGCTGAGAGGTTTAGGGTTCGGGGTTTAGGGCTCGGGGATACCCTACACCCTAAACCCCGAAAGGTCTAGGGTGCACGGCGTAGGTCGAAAAGTCAAGGGCTTTTTTGGACTTGCCACGGGCGTGCCTCTCGATCCGCAGGCAAGGTACATTCCGCCGCACGCACGTCAAAACCTCTCTTCCCCAAGAACGAGGGCGAAAAAAGTTTAAACTTTATTTTAGAGACCCAAAAACCCTAAACTCTAAACCCATATAGCCCAAAAAGTTTAAAGTTCTTCTATTGGCAAAATAAGAAGCTGGCTATTTGGTCCAACATCAACTTGTGACTCTGAAGCTTCATCCGGAAGGAGAAGAAGCTGGGAATGGATGCCGGCAAGCAAATTATGCCTTAGCTGTGCAGGTCTCTAACGGTTTTGGGGCTTTAGGGATGCAGTATATCATAGTACAATAAGGATAGCCGATATTCTAGTATATTATAGTATAGTAAGGATAAGTAGTATTAGTATATTATATTAAAATAAGGAAAATATTGTATTAGTATATTAGAGTAAGGATAACTAATATCAACAATATCTAGGGCCCTTCTACGACCATCCTTCTGATTCGCATAAGCCCGAAACAGACCCCCCCCCAACCGTGAACCCTAATTCTGTCGGTTTAGGGTTTAGGCATGAGTTCTGGGGCAGCCCTCAACCCTAAGCCCTAAAACCTAAGCCAAACAACAACTTAAATCCTACTACCCAAAACCCTTAACCCTAAATCCTAAACCCTAATGGCCGTCTAAGCTGCTGGACATCATCCACACAATGAACCAGGCCGCAAACTTCAGCATGGCTGGGTTGTCCCCAAGGACCGACTTCGTGACACTCAGAATTCCTGCCAGGTTTAGGATTTAGGGCCCTGCTTGTCCTTTAGGACGACCCCCCACCTCAGTTTGTAATAGTGGTATGATAGGAATATACATTATAGTCCTCATTATCCCCTATCGCCACGATTACAGGGTGGGGATACTCCTAAGCTGCCCTTATCAACCCTGGCGAATGTAGGTTTTCAGGAACTACTACACACAAAAGCCTAAACACAAGACATATGAGGCGCTAAGGAAATTTCAAAGATCTGCTACGCCTGGGATTTTCCAAAAAGAGGATAGCATGTTTGGGGAGTCCTTTTTGAGAGGAACTTGGGATCCATAAGGGGCCCCAAACCCTACACCCTCCTGTCATCCACGCAGCACTCCAGTTTGGAAACACGTGCTCTAAGATGTCCAAAATGGTAGCGCTCATTAGGTCGGACCTGCAACAAAACCCGCAGCGTTTAGAGTTTAGGGCTCCGCACTTTCTGAGGCCTAAACCCTAAACCTTAAACGCTAAACCCTAAACCCGAAATCCTAAACCTTAAACCCTAAACCCTGCGGTTTAGGGTTCAGGCCTCATGGCGGGACTGGGAGCCCTAGGGGCTTCATCATTTCTTCCAAAAGCAATACGAGCAGAAACGTCCACAAGTCTTGGACACAGGTTTAGGGCTTTAGGGTTTAAGGTTTAGGGTTTAGGGTCTTGGACACAGGTTTAGGGCTTTAGGGTTTAGGGTGGAGAAGACCTGCCAAAACCGGTGCCATACTTTCGAGGCATAACTCAATCCCTGTACTCATGATTTCCCAATTCCCCTAAAAATAAATGTAGCCCATAGAAGACCATTCTATAGGGGGCTGTCAAAATTATGATACTCTTTTGGGTCCCCTAAATAATAGGTGCCGTAGTATTATACCAAGGACACCAAAAAGGACCAGAATTTTGATAACCACCCATATAGTAGATGAAAGAAAAATATCCGGGGTCGGGGGGATGGGGGGGCCCAATTTTTAAGGGAGAGGATTGTGTAACCCTAAGCCCTAAATGATCATTGTGGGAACTGGAATATGACACTTGCCTATCTTGCAAAGAGCCGACCCTAAACCCTAAATCCTAAAGCACCAAACCCCAAAAGTCCATGGGACGGTCTGAGATAATGTAGGACCCTTACTTGTGCAATACAGGTAATTTAGAATAACTTCAATTCCAAATTTAAGACCATTTCGGTACTACTCCTCAGGTAAACCACAATTTAGGGTGAGGTCGGGTGAGGTCGCTATAAATTTTCCATACAATAGCAGTTACAAAATATATTGGGGTGTATAGGTCGGGGGCAGTATCCAAGGTTTTGGGACATACTTTGGTGAAAAAAAGTCTTTGGTTTCAGGACCACGAAATTTAGCCAAGGAACAAGATGGATAGGAGCAGCCAGGGGGCAAGCCACAAAGGAAGCACATCCTACAATTGCTGCAGAGCATTCTCAAAAAACGCACGCTGCCTCTAGAATGTTCATAGTCTTAATCTAAACCCTAAACCCTAAAGCTCAGCATCCACCAAAATAGGCCGTTAGAAATAATGGTTTCTTAAAATACCTTTTTGGGGGCCCAAGAATCATATTGGGGTCTAGATTGGGGTCCCCTTATCTTGGAAACTA